ACTGGCCTCAACCTAGTTGGTTAGAAATAACTGAAAATTCATTTTTTCCCATGACTCATGAAGACATTATTGATTCTTATTGTCTTTGTTTTAATGTTTACACTTCATACTGCCTCTTAAGACAAACTTAAGAATAAGGTTTCGCCGACAAAGTAACCGCAACCTTTCCATTCTTAGTCATCCATTCTACTTCATCAAACCTCATTATCAACAAACTAGTATAGATCTGAACATAATAAGTTTCAGTGAATTCATTTCACGCTGTGTAGAATAAAATCGATTGCCTTATTTTATTGGAAATGCAACAAAATGAACTGGGTTATACAGCAGATGACTAAATTGTTTCCCTGCATAATACCGAAGTACCGGAAATACCTCTTTAGTGACAATATATTCCGTCATAATAACAATTTAATCGCTGAGTAGATAATATTTACAAATATGCGATATTGTAACGCATAGCAGTTTCAGCATACATCTAAATGTTAAAAAAGTATGTTTACTCGTCTCAGCACACCTCTTGGTTATTCATTGAAAAAAACACAGCCGATTGGCAAAATTAACCGTACTGAAAATTAGTTGCACTACTCTTAGGTAGAAGTTCATTATCCAACTTATGTATAGTGCAAGTATTCACATTTTAGAGACTTATGAGTATTTAATTACTCCATCGCCTACAGAATAACAGAGAGAGATTTTGCGAAGTAGTAACAATTTGATGCGTAAGTTTGTGACGCATGTTAATCAGTATTTCTAACCTGGAAGAGTTTTGGATAAAATAACTTCCTAATAGAATTTTTTCGGTGCTTTTGTTGCTTGCCATAAAGAACAGTATCTTACAAAGTTGATTCACAATTGGAAAGTAGTAACAAATTACTATGTGCATCATAGAAGCCTTTTAAAGAGAATTCATACAAAAAGCTTCTCCAATCACATCTTTTATTTCGATAACTTACCGTCATTCTTTCAAGCAGACCATTCTCAAATATCACTATCACCTTCTTCGGGTATCTGATGGGAATGTTAGTCAGACCAAGTTTCATATTTTCTTATATCAGACGCCTATTCTTCTTTGCTTTACAAGTCAAGTAATATGACTTGTTCAACTACAATACCATTTACAATGTTCTTCGAAAATGACACAGATATCACAAACATTTGATTTATGATATCTTTAAAGAGTTGCTCTATGAATTTATTGACAGTGTTAACTTTGTTGCCTCTTCAAATTAATTTTTAAACCAAACTTATAATCAGTGGTGTTCATACTATTCTGGTGCATACTGATCGAATTTGAAAACCGACTGGATTTAGAATCTTTAAGTAAATGTAGTTTACAGTCACAAAACGATACACATTTGGGGAACTTGAAAGAAACCCTCATGAATCCAGACGACGTTCGAAAAGCAGTAATTCTTAATTTAAGTAGAAATATGATTTGAAAAGTAGTCGTTGAACTGACTGAAGCTTGATTTTAAGCATTAATGTATCTTGTGGTTAAAAATCTCATACGAGCATCAGATATAGATAATTCTTTGAGTATATTTTCATGTTTTCACTAATTTCTAACGAAGTTTGAGAATCCGCTTTACACGTGTTACAGCATTTCGCAGTATATCAAAAACCATGATATTTTGACCTCTTTTTTTCAAAGAATCATCACACGTCAAAATGACGATCCCAGTTTTTGAGAATAATTTTGACTAGATGAGTTAAAAGCCTATTTTTACTGAAAATAATAGATGGAAAGGTTTTCTTTACTTATCAAGATAGTGTATTGTTTCGATTAAGCCAATAACTGCTTCGCTGAACTCCTTACGGGATGCGAAAAGTGTTCTAAGAGCTCAGATAAAACTATATGTGAAAAACACCACTGATTCTCAAGCCATGAACTGGGCGTAGTCGGTTGTGACAACATCGCTTATAAAGTGTTGAGGTCTGTGTTGCAGCATGTCTTTAGTCTTCTCAACTACGATAAGCTTAGCTGTATAGTATGTTTTACCAATGACAACCTTAGACATCGTATTAAAATTAGGCTGTATAGTTGAATCAGGTTAACTGTAAGTGTCTAAATAAAGCCTTTAAATTACCATTTTCATATTTATATGCAAATAGACGTGTTAGCATGTTAAGGAAAAACTTACAGTCAGATGTATGAAAATCATTGCGAATTTTATGCACAAGACTTTATAAGTTGGAGTTCAATAAAGACGTTAAATTGCTCCACATTTTAACACTATCGGAGAAATGAGATTATTGAATTATTTTATAAGTATACAGTGATATTAAACGATTAAAGCAAATAAAATTTCCCATCATGATAAATACCACAAGTGGTAAATTGCATTTTACCAAACTTCGTCCGCATTTATTTGATGAACTGATGAAAGAACAAATAGGAATCAGTTTCAAAGCGAAAAAATTTTTAATAATTCGAAAATTCACTGGATGGCACACCATTTTTGTTCACGCTGTTAATGAAAACTGTTTTTTTTCTCTTAAACCTGGCTAAAACTTATACTTAAGACCATAATCAGCCATTGCTAATGGACAACATATGATATGAGGCCTTTTTGAATGATTCTAGTCCTAGTCTAAACTCCGCTGAATACTTAGTGAAAAATAATCGAATCAAGATGTTCGGCTATTTTAGCTGTAATACGTATATCATGTATAAGTGCAGAAATATATCTATATGTCAAACAGAGTCAACCATACTATCTATCACCTGTATGAAATATTATCTTAAAGCATGTAGGCATCGAACCAGCTTACAGAGGAACAAATCAGGAGCACAGTACTCAAATAGTGGTATGATCCAGAAAAATCTTTAGAAACTCTTATTCAAGCATAAATGGCCCGAGCATTTGAATGTCTCCATAGCTGTAACTCAGTCACCGTATTACACTACAGTTAATAAAAGCTAGACTTTCTTATGTTGTAGAACACAGTCTCTCTGAATATTCTTAACATTACGTTCTGAGCTCCATTTTAAAACAGTTAAACTAGTTTTGTGTTCCAATATTCTCTACTTTCAAAACCACGAATCTGCACATCAGATACTTACAGAATTGGCATATCAAGTTTAAAATAATCATTTCGACTTCTGATTTTACCTAAATAACCTCTTAAAATGACAGGAAACATCATCTAGAAACATTTTGATTTACTATTACATGAGAAAATAAATCGATTGGGCATACAAAGATGAATGTTATAATAATTCGTTTCCTGGGTTAAAATTTACGAATATGATACACGAAATGAAACTTGAGACCTAAAAGTAAAGAAAGTGTATAACATAAGAATTGTGTATACGCACATAAATTGACTTTTAGCCAGGGTCAATATAAAGTTATTTTATTGCAATAAATGTCGGTTGGTATGCAGTAAAACTAAGTAGGTCAAAGCTATTAAATTACTTCATAATTTGCTTCCTCAGATTTGACTGTAATAAACGTTGTATACTGAAATATTTTTGGCTATGCACTGTTTATCCATCTACTTGAATCAAAAAACTTCAATCCAATATATTGTTAGGAATGTACCCGCCGGTTTACAATTTTTAATGTTGATTACATGCTCTCATATACTAGTGGTCACGTAATTCACTATTTGAGCGATTCGTGTATCTTTATCGTCAAAAAGTAACGCAGCTTCAAACTCTTCTTTCTCATATAAGTCTTTGTATAGTTTGTGACAACCTTCTAAACGCTCTTCTACTTATTAAAGTCATGAAAATATTTCTCTGTGAAATCAAAATTACATAAATTCGCTTCCAAATCTATCAGCAGTGGGCACTGAAGTTAAGTATTTTCAATAGTATCTGTTTTCTTGAACAATATAAAAGTTTTTTCGATCCTGATTTAATATCATCTTTTGAGACAGATTTACATTTCAAAAACCCTAAAATTCAGCAAATTAACATTTTTTTAAAATCTTGTGCCGTTGATAGGTTGAACGCATTTGATGAAATTTCTACATGAGATAAGCAGAGATTTAACCTAGTGCTTTTGTAGACAGATGATTGTTCTTAAATTGATTTTGATCTCAAGTTAGTATCAACCGGAAAGTCACTAATGACTTATGACGGCCATACAGTTGTTTAATTCTAAACTAAGTTTTGTAATAGCACTCATCCTCAATCCCATGAATGATCTTCTCTATGTCCTTACGGTTAGGGATTGAAGAAATTAGTGTTCAGATGGGAGGTTACAATTTACTCACTGCATTAAAAGAAAAAAATGAAGTACTAGTTGCATAGTTGTGCAAATGACAAAAATCAAGACTAGTAACAGGGCTTTTTTATTTTTTGATTGACATTGAGATGTTCCTTTTGTCTGTCAAGTTTATATTTAGGATTGTATGAAAACGAAAGCAACAAAACATCCTATAAATCATAGAAATAAAAACAAATTCAAATCAAGCTAAAAAATTTTCTAAAACAAGAAAAGTATTCTCTCGTTTTTTTGTTTATCAACTATCTGGGTAATCTATTTTTCCTGCTTCTGTCCAGCCAAAAACTCATCCTAGCAGCAGCTGGTTTATTAATACATATTTAAACAGAATTACGAACACTCCAAGTCTAAAACAAGTCAGTTCCTTAACAATGAAACCATTGATATGTAGTTACGTTTTTCTGCTTAGTTGTTATTCTATCCGCCTGATGCACTTAGAAGATGATACTGATCGATTACAATTCAAGTGAATGTACAGTCCACTCAATGGAACTATTCTTAGTAAACTTGGAAAGACTGATTAAATAATTTCAGAAAAAAGGCTTAAATACCAGCTTTCTTCTGGAAAACATTATACGGAAAAGTTTATTTAGTTAAGAGATATTCTGTACATCCGTATTTGGTAAGAATATGAAAATGGAAAGCTGAGTAGTTTCTGGTCATAATCCCGCTAAACACTTTCTATTCAACGAATCATAGTTTTCAGTTAAATTGTTTACGCATCATTCCTAATTTTGTATTATTTTTTTGCTTTTATTTTAGGATGCTTAAGATTTTGCTTCAACTATTCATCGGCTTATACATAATTGGTAATGTATTTTGCGATGGTAAGTTGAATAGTTCTACGAATGTCTTAAGCAGTCAACCTGCTTTTAAAATTTTAATCACTTTTAATGCAGCAGTTTACTGAAAATATCATTTTGATGTTAATGAACTTCCTTTGCTTAATTCTCTTTGTATCCATTGGTCTTGATGAAAAATGGTTTAAAATTGATACACTTGCTTGGCTGTTTTTAAATAAGAGAATTGACAAACCATTTTACCGCATAACAGTTGCCCACCAACAACAGAAATAGGATGCCCTATTTATGACAAGTTGTGATTAACTTCAATTCTAAAGTACTAGGTATTTACAAGTGAAGTCTTTCCTAAACTGATAAATGCTCTGATGGGATTAATGCAATCCGTTAGAGAGAGTACATTTTAAATCATATAACTCAGTTGCTGAAACATTTAAAGTGCACAACGTTGAGTTTGGTTCTTTCATAATAAGCTTTTTCTCGAGACAACTCTGAAAGGCAATCCAAACAAGAGAATTTTACCAAATGATAAGAAATGGCCTACCTGACTAACGGATTGAAAAAGATGATGACTAAACGTGGGAAAGTCCATTTCTAGACCAAATTTCAAATAGTCACTTGTGGGTCACGGAAATAGCACACCACATGTGGAGCTACAGAATGCAATTGCCCACTTGATGGAAACACCAACTTGGCCAACAATTCTTCACCTTGTATGTAATGTGAGCCAATATTGAATGAATTTCCATACATCATCGTCACTCCATTTAGACAGTTAATTGTGTTTCAGTAAGTTCATTCCGTATCAGAACGGAAAAATGATTTATACAATTCTGCTTCAACAGCCTTAGTCAACCATGATTAGACTACTTAGTGCACTTGCCTGAAAGCCAATGTTTTCAGTTTATTCTGTACCTCATTCATAACTTCTATCAAAGTATGGCAATGTATTCTTGACATTATTAAATATTCAGGTTTTGCATATGATAAATTAAATTTAATGAATTGCGTGTTGAAATTACGGACGAACACTTTTTCACCAGCGCTGTATAGTCACGAAACAGAGAAATTAATTAACATCGAATAACTTAAAAAACGTTTCTGTGTCAATATTTTAGGTTTATTTTTCTTGACAATAATTGTGTTAACCCATTGGCTCAATGTATAGGGAAAATGAAATTACACGATCATAATCTGAAAGAATACAAAAACACTACGTGTGAACACTAGTAGTATAAGGGAAGTCGATTGAATGAGCGTTCATTTGGTAGTGAACTTTTCCACATAAATATTGTTTTCCAATAACGACAAAAAAATATCTGACAGAAACGTGAAACGACTTTCAGCTATTCTTTTTTTCATTCTCCAAACTCACAAAATGCTCCTTCTAGAGACATCAACTACTATTTAAACATGACTGGAAGTATATTCAGAATAATGATAAAAATGAAAACTACGGAAATTAACTAGAAAAATATTTGTAATCAGAGAAAAAGAGAGAATTTATCCGAGCTTCTTAAAAAACACTGGATTAGCCTCCTAACCCTTGAAGTATAAATAAACGCCACATAATTATCTTAAAAGTTTTACAGCTGCATTGTGCTACAAATATTTTTTCCTTGGTGATACATAATAAATAGTATTGATAAGCAATAACCGTAAGAGCTTCTTTCTCACTATTATTTGTTATGATGATGACGCAAACATTTTGCATGCAGAAAGGCGAATTTTTATGAGTTTATGCTTTGGAAGACAACCTAGTAGAATGAAATAACTTTTACGGATTCAAAATGTAATTTTTTTATGAATGAAAATGGTTTCAGTGCATTTTACAAATAGTATAGTATACGTATATTTTAAAGATTTACTAAGAATTCAAATGCTGCGTAACTGAATCCCAAGAAGTGCTCCATAGCATTGGGTTACTAAATTCATTTTTACCATCTTTCAAAACCCGTTCATATTCTACACACTGGACAAAAGTTAAAGTGTCCTCTGTAAGATCTCATGCCGTTGAGTTCTGATTCACAAGAAGCTCCTAACTTAAATGCTATGTGTGTCTGATTCTCTCAAGTTTCCATTGACGATCAAGGTGATATCAGTCAATAGTAAAGCTAATTATTGAGAATCAGTCCTTTTAAGGTAAAAAGTATTAAATAATAATTATTAATCGTTTTGAATATACATCTTGGCATAAGTCGAATGTTCCAAAAGGATTTATATGGCATAACATTTTGAAATTCCATGGTCATACAATAATTATGCGAAGTTTAAGATATTCTTGTGTCAGAAGTAGAACTGGTATCGTCAGTGGCATTCTATGTTTGGTGTATTGACCAAAAAATACTATATTAACCTCAAGAAAATCCTTGTGAAATCTACGTGCACGTCTCTACTAAATCCATCGTCATCTACTCCAGTGACTTTGTAAATGAGTTTTATTGTTTTCCTATATGAAATTGTAAAGGGTGTACGCTAACGTTTATATTGTTTTCTTAAAATATGCATTTTCAAAAACTTAGAGTTATTCCATCTAGATTCCTCATAACTGATCATTTTTCTGCATTTTTTGAACCCCTTGGTTACAGTTAGTGGATTGTATACACAGTTAATTGCGAAACCACAAATATTGTAACAATAAATTTTACACCTATATTCCCAAGTCAATATATACTTGCTTTGAGCAGTTATATAAGCTTAAATTTTGAAAGTTATCGCATCATGTTTCTCAATCTCACCTGATCAAAAAAGTGGGAACCTATAACGTTTGCAAAAAGCCTTTATATCTAAGGTCTATAGAAGGAATTACATTATTCATTCAACCTCTCCAGTGAGACATATTCATGTATTACCATCATCGAAAGCCTGAGTCTGCAGGCTGAAAACTATATGCCATTTTGTTGGAAACATGGCCTGAAATTACACTGTTCATATAATTCTTGAGGATTGTTTTCAGATATCTAGGTGTTAGTGACTTCATAGTGGGTGAAATGGTAGTATAGTCAGTGGCTTAGTAATAATGAGTAATGCTGCGACGAATTACACCACACATACCCCACTTTCCATGATTATTTCGAAAATGAAAGTCTCACTGCTATATATTTATCTCAAGACAGCTAAATTGACAAAAGATCTGTATAATTTATGACGTGTAGTACCATCCAAGTTATAAAGTAGGAAATTTGGTAGATTGCACATTGTTGAACTACAGTGAATATTCATAATCAGGTATGCCACTGTTGTCATCTTTCGCCATTTAGAAATTGAAGAAGAGCTTGATTAAAAGCTCTGTATTTTAAAAGCCAACAATGAACATTGAAAAAACCCTCTACCTGCTGATAAAGTTTACGAAACTTTCTAAGAGTAGTCGGAGGTAAGACCGGAAGGCTTTTTTCTGAGAAAATCATTACTTCTGGATAATCATGCTCTCAAGAAACTACTTTTCTTTTAGCCGGATTTCGTAAGTTCAGTCGTTTGGAACAAGATAAATGTATATGCATAAAGGTAACAAAAGTAGCCTAAAACCTAGGTGTTCTTGTTTACCACCATATAAGTTTTAATAAAATTCCAGCGCGTTTAGAAAACCGAAAATAACATTTTTCTGAACGTTTCGCTGTGCATGCCACAGCTCCATCAGCATAATATTCGAGTTTTCAACCAACACCAAAATATATGCTGTCTAACGATACCTGAAGGAATTTCTGTCCTTACGCAGTTGTAGAGTTGATTTGTTGTTCAAACTGATTACTTCTAACTAGTCATCGTAGGTTCACTGAGTCTTTGTCACTTGTCATCAAAAACAATCCAATAACCAAAGTGTGTCCAAATGTTATGGGAAACGTATGTGTCGTTCGTTGTTTATGGTATAAAAATCTGAAAAACATGTTTATTGATGAACAATAATTGATCCGTTTTATTTGTTTGTTTTTTAAAAGTCCAATTCGAAGTTGTGACCTTTTTAATGTTTTTGTGGCATATGCAGTGAAATGTTCAGAAAAATCCTGTTTCCTTCTTTATAAATACTCTGGGATTATATTAAAACCTACTAACATAAACATGACTCAGCTCTTAACTTCTTTCAGGACTGTCCTAGCAACTATGGCCTAGATGTTTATATTCTCGTATACCTTCCTTTCTAAGATGTTCAAGTGAATTCGGATAATCAAATGCATTGTGAAATTTTTCAGGAACTATGCACACCAAATCTAACAGCAGCTGAGTAAATTGCGGCAGAATAATTCTAATCATTCAATGTTTAGTGCACTGTCGATATATCTAAGCTTCATTAGTGAAATGCTCCATGTCTAACTACAATTCTGAAAATCTCTGAAGTATATCATAGTTAGAGCTGTCATTTACTTTCTGTTATGCGTGATATGGTACTGCAAGAAATGCTGAAAACCTGTCTTAAGATTTTGGTCGAATCAGACACGAAATACAGGGTGAAATTATTAGAATTGATCGACTACAAGCTCATAGTTATGCCTAGTTTTTATAAGTTAACTGGAATTAGAATACAGAAAATCACAGCACCAATCTGTTAAAAGACTCATGCTAAATTCTCGTTTGTATTCTTGCAAAGTAGCTCACTCAAAGTAGATGGAATATGCAGGTAAATCAAAACATTTCATTCTTAGTAATTTAAATAGATTTTAAAGATCATCTGATATTTTTAGTCACCTAGTTGTAAAGAATTTCAGATTCTACCAGCAAGCCTGAAGTTTGCTAACGAATTTTCTAATGTATACATAACAGTTCATCTATATAAAGCTGGCAAACTTCCAATTCGTTGTCATACCAGACAAATACTAGAATGTCACAAATAAATTTGACTTATATTTCTTAGCTTGCAAGACCTGAACTGATTTCAGTCACAGGAAAATTAAGTCGAAAAACTACAAACTTCAGCCACAATCGATAGTTTTTCTCCAATCTCCACTGATAAAAGAGAATGTGTGTATGAAACAAATTTGTTTATCTGGATGTGTACTACTCGTAAGAGTCATTTCACCATAAGCACTTGATTA